TTGAGCCTTTTTATTTTTATTGCATTTTATTATTTTCACATTTTTTTTTTGGAAAAATTGTGCTACCTTCATATATATCCATATATAAAAATTGTTTGTATATAAATTATTTATTTGGCTGGCTTTTTTAAACAACATGCTTTAAATTGAGCTTCAGGAACTCGATTATAATTTTATTTTCCATATAATTATTTTCACTCAACACACACTTAAACGCGGTAATACAAAATATTTTAAAATTCAATACAAAATGTATTTAATTTCAATTGTAAATTCTTATCGAATGCCATATAATATTAGCAGTAATTTCAAATGATAAATTATTTAATGAAAAATATCAAAAAAAATGTACAGGCGCATCAAAGCAAACAGCTGCAATTCATTTACACACAATCAATGATGCCAGACAAATTAATTACAACGTAACCCAAAACCAATTGCAGAATTACGTTAAAAGAAAAAAAATGCAAAATGAAGCGTAGTACTCACACTGCGTACGCGATAATTATTTAACTGTTCAGTCTCTTCATCAACACCAACACTGCGGAGTAAAAAAATAAAATATACCTTAGTACACATTTTGATTTTTTTAATAACAGCACAAAAACTTACGGTATTTTAAGCCAATTAAGCAAAAAATTAGATGCGCCACCTTGTATGACGACCGTAAAAATCACAATTAACGAGGTTGCAGTCAACATTGTTTGACGTGCCTCCGAAACGGTGTTGCGTATGGCCAAGGCAAAGGACATCGCACCGCGCAAGCCTATAAAAATCAATAATTTTTATGTAAACAATGAATAACGGTTGTATGGAAGTCAAACACGTTATTATACCTGCAAAGAAAAGCATGTGCTGGAAATTCGATGAAATTTTCGGTTTACGATTCAAATTTAACAGCCAAGATAGCGGATAGATGTTAACGGCGCGTCCAATAGCAGCAGTGACCTGTATAGTTCGAAAAAAAAAAAATAAAAATAAATTTTTGGAAAATAACAACAAAAGTTTGCGCTGTACTTACAAAACCGGTTATGATGAAAACAGCGTCGAAATGATGTTTCGGAAAGGTGAACATTGAAACGCCAATATATGAAAAGATGAAATTTTCCGCCAAGAAATTCAATAATTCGAATATTTCCTTTGTGCGCGTGCGCGAATTCTCCGATAAATTGTTATAGGTATAATGCGCTTGGCAAATACCACAGAATAGCACAGCCACTACGCCAGTCAATTCCGAAGCTTCCGCAATCAGGAAAGTACTGTACGACATAAGCACAAAGAGCGCAGATTCGAGTAGCGGGAATTCACGTACGCGTGTAAACTTAGTCAAGTGCAGTGGTAGTTAAGGAAGCTTTTGTAAAAAGTGTGGACAATATTGTAAAAACAAAAAAAAAATCAAATAATATATTAAAA